TTTATATATCCTTGATAATAGTCCTTTGTCTGAGGTACAGCTGGTAAAAATTTTTTCCCACATTGTAGATTGTCTCTTAGTTCTGCTAATGGTTTCTTTTGAAGTACAGAAGCTTTTTAGTAAGATGAGATCCCAGTTGTTGATTCTTTCTGCTAGTTCCCGTGCTACTGAGGATTTGTTCATAAAGTCTTTTCCTATACCAATTAGACAAATTATTGACATTACCATGACCCTTAATTCAAAACTTTGCCCAAACTGTTTTCAGTGTAAAGTGATGCTGATGTTTTCTTGTTAATTTTAATCACAGTTCCCCTGTGCATGCTGAAGGTTCATTTTTTCAGAATCATGCTCTTTCTGAGAAAACTGGGGAAAAGTATGAAAATATATGATGAAAGCAAAGTATTCTGTAGATTGCTTATAAAGATGAAAGGCATCTGCAACATCCAAGTTAGAAGAAATAATCTACTAGCCTTCTTATATTTCAGACTGTCAGCATCCCAGGAAAACTGTCAGCTTAGGATCACTTAATGGGCAGAAACCCAAATCATTTGGTACTGTTTGTCAAATTTAGGACTTTTCCAAACATTGTCAATTTTGAAAGGCAGTTTTTGCTAATGTATAGTAAGATGTCAAATACAGGGACACAAATTAAAATTTAGTATGCTCAGTAGATATTTTTTTGTTCTGCTAATTTCCCTCACACCTTCCCATTGACCACTGTCAGTAAATTACACCATAAAATAAAAGAATATCTTCTGTACAAACCAAACAAATATCTACTTCAAGGCTTAAAGATGGTAAATTTCCACCCTATTGCATTTATTTCAGTAATGTGTACTATTTACATGTGTCTGCTGATTGTCTTTGAGATAAAGAAGTTACATAGCTGCCTGCATGCCACCAGCCCCAGCGAGGAAGTCAAGAATTCGAAGGCCACCCTGAGATCTCTCCCACAGGCCTGCTTGGGCACACTCAGCAGGACCAGATAGCTGCACCCTCCCCTACCTGCTCTGCCACCAGCTCTAGCAAGGAAGGTATCCACGCAGGCATCCTTGAAACACCCCAACACACACACACAAACACACACACACACGCACACACACACACACACGCACACACACACCCTGCTCTCAGACCTCCTGATTGGGGGAGTCCTTGGACCCACTCCGCAGAGACATAGGTGATCATAAAGGGTATTTATCTGAGCTCCCAACTTTGAACATCTTTAAAGGAAGAGTGGGGGAAAGCTGTAATAGAACTGTGTGGAGTTCAACCCTGCAGGTTGGGGAACTCAATTTGGGCCTTGTAGCCTGAGGTCACTCTGAGTCATGGGGATCTGCCATTGGCTACCTGAGATTAGGGGACTTGGTTCTGCACATGGCTGTGCACGTGGTATATTATGACAGCAGAGACATAGTCTGAAAAAGGCCCCTCAAATTCTTTTTTCTTTTCTTTCTTTTCCTCGTTCCACTCTGCAAATTCTTTCTTTTTTCTGTCCTCTTTCTCCAATTCAGTCTCTTGCTCCACCAAACTATTCCTCATCTCATTTTCTGTTCCTGCTCCTGCCCTAATTCAGACTTCTACTTTTATCATTTTTTTCTTTTTTCTTTATGTTCTTTATTTTTGTCATTTTACCTCACTCATGGGTCAGTCATTTCAAGGGAAAGTGAGCCCCTGTTACTGTTAAGGGGATATATTCTTGTCCTTATTCTTGCACTCTGTCTATCCCTTTTGAATTTAATAGTTTTGTAAAGATTGTATGGTCATTCTATGTCCTCAGGCTTCACTTGAAACCTCCAATTCTTTCACTTATCTACTCCTCTCATCCTAACTCCGTCTAAGCCCTCATCCTAAATGGTAAAGATGCATAGTATCTTCATAGATCTACACACTTCCTCCCAGACATTTTAAATCATCTCTAGATTGCATGCAGTGCCTAACAGGGTATAAATGCTATGTAAATAGTTGTTAAACTGTACCTTTTAGGGAACAGTGAAAAGGGATTCAGAGGCCCCTGTAATTTAATACAAACCCTTTTTTTATAATATATTTTTTCTGCATTTTTAAAACTGTAAATCCAAAATCAATGGATAGGGAAGGAAGGCTATACAGCAGCAGTCCTTCCACTTAGATATCAAATATGATAACCAAGAACAGGGTCCTCAGGGAATAAACAAATGAAAGCTCATCACAGGAACAAGAAATTGCGAGGGGTTGGCATAAAGGAGTAAAGCAAGACATTCAATGTTTCAAGATTGTCTTAGTTTGAAATTGTCAATGCCTAGTGTGTTGAGGGCCCTGGGTAAGGCTCACACAATTACCAGGACACAGGGGATGCAGCGATGAATAAAATAATTATAACTGCATGCTTTATTTTAAGAGAGCTAGTCTTTTTATAGAGATTTAGGAGCAGGATATATTAATCATAACATCATCACATTATCTTAGTACAGACTTCTCATAGACTTCTCACAGACTTCAGGCTGTTGAGATAATGTCTGTCTCCCACTATCCTAAGAGCCAATATTATGGTTAGGAAAGTACAAATTAAAATTCTTACATATAAAAACATTAGGAGACAAATAGTCACAAGGCCATTTCCTTATCCCAAAACATATTTTGGCAGAACATTAAGATGCAGGCAGAGAAAGTTTGCTTTCTCTTCACTTGGCCCACCAATAGTCCAAGCATCTCAAGTCACCTCATATATCAAGTGCAGGACGGCATAGTTTGTTGACTATATCTCCACAGGAAATGCCTGCAAAGAAGACAGCAAAGTATATACAAAAAGGAAAGCAAACAATAAATGCAAAATTTTGATCAAGAAAACACTACAGGGGCCGGGAATTTAGCTCAACAGTTCTGTGGCCTGCCTTGCAAGAGCAAGGACCCAAGTTCAATCCCCGGTACCAAAAAAAAAGAAAAGAAAACACTACAGAGAGCATAGCACTTAGCTCAGTGGAACTGCACCTACTTTGCAAACACGAGGTACAATTTGAAAGAAAATAACATGGAGCCTATACACATAAATGAAAATATCAATATTGCTAGGGGCGTTTGTAGCAAAATACTCCACATTAACCATTCAGAGCAGACTCACTCCCTTAGACTAGATGGCCCATGTGGTACATCACATTTTACAAAAAAATAAATCAAAATCTTCATCAAGAGAATTCGAGATGCAAGACTGCAAGTATCTTCCCTTCACTGTGGATCTAAAACCAGCAGGCCAGACAGAAAACATTTCATGGATGCTAAATAATCCCTGGGTATGGTCATATAAAAATCATCTATTCATGGGATTCAGCTCAGTGGTTCCACCACCTGCCTTTCAAATGCATGCAAGGACCCAAGTTTGATTCCCGATACCCACTTTTTTTAAAAAAAAATCTATTTTAGGCCCAGAAGGATTCTTTCCTCTTTTTTTTTTTTTTTTTTTTTTTTTTTTTTGGTACCTGGGTTCAAACTCAGGACCTTGCATTGCGAGGCAGGTGTGACACTAATGATCAAAAATCTAGGCCTTCAAAAAGATTTTTTAATCACTACACAGTACCACAAGAAGCCACAAGAGGAATACACATTGATCCATTCATTGTTTCACTGTGAGACTCAACCTTGGGAATATTTTAATGTGACTAACATTTCCTTTAGTCTCATTACCAATATAAACAATTACAGTAACTATCTTATATACAACTTTAAACAGAATTTAACTTGTCTATGGCCACACCACTCTGAGTGCACCCAATTGTGCCCAATCTTGGAAGCTAAGCAGAGTTATACTAGAAAGGGAGAATTTAACTTAGATTGATGTGCATGCACTCAATCATCTATGGTAAAGACATATAATACATCCATGTACAGGTAAAGTGACATAGTAAAATTACAAAGTTTGTACTTCATTTCTTAACTTTATGTTTCCTCTGGAACCATGGTGATTTTTTAAATTTTTACTATTTGCATTGTACCAAAATAAAATCATGCTCTCCAGACATAGTTTATCCTTCGTTGTTAGGAGAAAACTTAAATTTATGACTTTACTAAAAGACATTTTTTTTAATTTACTGCTTTCTATAAAATCCAATACTCTACATTCAATTAATAACTCACATCATCTTCATCTCTTCCAGGCCAATGAATGTGTCCAAGAAAGAAAACACAAACTCTGTCACCCACTTCATCCTCCTCTGCTTCCCCTCAAGTCCAGAAAGGCAGCTCCTCTATTTTGGGCTCCTCTCAGCAGCCTACACTCTGACTCTCATGGGGAACACAGCCATCACCTGCGCTATGAAGGGAGACCAGTGCCTTCACACGCCCATGTACATCTTCCTGGGGAATTTCTCTCTTGTGGAAATATGCTATGTCACCACAACTGTACCCAACTTACTGGCTAATTTCATCTCCACAACAAAATCTATCTCCTTTGTGAGCTGTTTTGCACAATTCTACTTCTTCTTCTCCTTTGGGTGTGACGAAGGCTTTTTACTTAGCATCCTGGCCTTCGACAGGTTCCTTGCCATCTGCCGCCCTCTGCATTATCCACACATCATGACCAGACAGCTTTGCACTGGCCTTGTTGTCTTCGGATGGTCCTGTGGGTTGATCATTTTCATGACTCCCATTGTTTTCATTTCACAGTTACCCTACTGTGGCCCAAATATCATTAACCATTTTATATGTGATCCTGTCCCCATAATGATGCTGTCCTGTTCTGAGGACACCACCACCCAGTTCATTTACTCTACTTTCAATGCTACTGCCATGATTGGTACTTTCATATTTGTCCTTTGTTCCTATGCACTGGTGATTCTGGCTGTGCTGCGGATGCCCTCCAAAGCCAGCAAAAGCAAGGCTTTCTCCACTTGTGCTTCTCATCTGGCTGTGGTGTTTTTCTTTTTTGGCTCTATTATGGCGATGTATAGCAGCCCTGGATCAACACACCCAGTTGAAGTGCAAAAAACTGTGACCTTATTTTATTCCGTGGTAACACCTCTCCTCAATCCGCTCATTTATAGCCTGAGGAACGAGCAGATGAAGGCTGCCCTAAGGAAAGTCTTTGGCTATAAAAACCTGCTCACAAAACATAAATTAGAAATTGTGGGAAGCTAAGTTACATTGCAACCTACTTTAATAAAACAAAACTAGAAAATTTTGTGGTTAACAATTTCTCTTAGAGAACTGTTGTGATGAAAGTCTTAGAATCTTTAATGTCACTACACGATGGACTAGTCCTTCTAAATGACATAGTTGTCCTTCAGTACATGCATGTATAACTCAATATCTAAAAAGCAACACAAATATTCTTTGTACCTGAGTGTTGAAAGATCATATACACTACTTGTTACATAGGTCATTTACTTCTTTCACATTTTAAAATATGCACATCCTTCTCCCTTGGTAAGTCCTCAATAGAGCAGTGGTGATGAATCTATGGCCCTCGCCACAGTGCGCTGTCTGTACCTTTAAAAACTCTAGAGGATTCCTCATCACTGGACTAGAAGGAAAATTTCCACCTGTGCAAAGTCTGAAACTGTACTGATGTGATGTGGGCATTGCATATCCAAAGAAAGGTGTTCTTTTTCTAAAAGGGTTGTAAAGAAATAAACTAATGATCTAAGCTGGCTTTTACAGACAGTTCCAAAAATAAAAAGCAGAAATTGAGTGGATGTCATATACCCAGAATAGAGTTAAGGTAGATGCTAATTTCAAAGGGTCAGTTACTTACACAGGAATTTATTCTCTTTGCTACCAATCAGTATCAAGTCATTTGTTTGGGGGCCATATTTTACTTCAGTATTTTTTAAACATATTTAAGAATTTTTCTAACTAAATATTAAGATCATTTGTTCTTTAAAGTATATAATCACAATTGTTTTATTTAATGAAATGTCTACCTTAACTCCTGATAACCAATCCTTTCATAGCCAATTCTGTAAAAATTGATGAAACGCAACAAGAAAATAAGATGCAATATACAGAGCTGTATTTACAACCTGCTGGAAATCACCAGTTCCACAAAGGTAGGTGCAACTCCAACTGGTTTGTCTCTAAGAAAGAAGCAAGGATTTGGGGTGGTCTGGACAATGAGAGGCAGGGTTTCTGATAGCTTCACAAGAAAATTGAAGGCTTGTTTGGGGAGGGGAATCTTTTCTTAGATTTCACAAAAGCCATGTGATTTGAAAGGGAATCATTGACTAGACAAATTATTGCCATTACCATGACCCTTAATTCAAAACTTCATCCAGAATATTTTCAGTGTAAAATGATGCTGATGTTTTCTTGATAATTTTAATGATGCCTCCCCTGTGCATGCAGAAGGTTCATTTTTCAGAATCATGCTCTTTCTGAGAAGAGTGGGGAAAAGGTATGAAAATATATGATGAAAGCAAAGTATTCTGTAGAATGCTTATAAAGGTGAATGGTTTCTGCAGCATCCAAGTTAGAAGAAATAATCTACTACTGTTCTCGTATTTCAGACTGTCAGCATCCCAGGAAAACTGTCAGCTTAGGATCACTTAATGGACTGAAACCCAAATTATTTGGTAACGTTTTTTGAATTTTGGACTTTTCCAAATATTATCAATTTTGAAAGGCAGTTTTTGCTAATGTATAGTAAGATGTCAAATACAGGGACACAAATTAGAATCTAGTATGCTCAGTGAATGATTTCTTTGTTCTGTTAATTTCCCTCACACCTTCCCATTGACCACTATCAATAAATTGAACTGTAAAACAAAAGACTGTGTTTTGTACCAACCAAACAAATATCTCCTTCAAGGCTTAAAGATGGTAGCTTTCTACACTTTTGCATTTATTTCAATAATGTGCACTATTTATGTTTGTCAGCTGATTGTCATTGAGATAAACAAGTTACATAAACTATCTCCAAATTTTCAAATGTTTATCTAGGAATACTACATGTGAAGTTAATAATTAGGTGGATGCATATTCAAATTAATCATTTGCTGTATTTCCTAAAAGTATGTCAATTCCTGAGTCTTCAATAACAACATGACCATTGAATATCATGAACATTAAATATATTTCATATGGATCTTCATCAAAATTTCCAGAATACATTCCTATTCACCCAAGTGCCTTTGTATATCTCTTAGGACACTGAATACATTTTGAGAAGAATCACTCATATCATTTATTATAAACAGCAATCACTGTATAAAATCATCCTCTGAATTATTATCAAAGTCACATTAATAGGTTAGAAAACTAACAGTTTTACAGAGGCTCATTAGTTTTCTAATGTCACATCATTAGTAAGAGTACTATAGGAGATACTTTATGGAACTATTTCCACCTAAACCTGTATTGAAAGATTTCAGGTACAATTGAATTGTACTGACAAATTTTACCACAGTTTCTCAGAAGCCACCAATGAGACCCCAGCCTATGCACAATTGTAATCTTGAAATACTATGGAGTTCAGGAAAGGTTGATGAATCCATCAAATATTCTTGTTTCTGAGAGACAATTTTTTTTGGCTTTAGGGCCCCCGGTGTCCATTCCTCATTTTCTGCTATGCTGTTTTAATGTTCAGTTATCACCCTATGTCATGGCTTGTGTGTAGATCCCCCTCCCTCAAAGCCTCATGCAGTAATAGGTAGCTTTTTCAGAGGTGACTGGATCTAGAGTATTTGTTACTAGAATTGTTGCAATGCTAGGCTCAAGGACACAAAGATTAAGGGTATGAGTGTTACCTGCCCTGAGGAGTCTGAATAAGACAGAGGGGCTAGAAAGGCATCATTAAGGTCCCTTGTTGCTTTGCTGCCTTCTACCCACCATGAACTGTTCTCCTCTGCCAAGCTTTCCTTAGAGTCAGCCAATTATGGACTGAAACCTAACTGTAAGATAAATAAGCCTTTCCCCCTTTAACTTTGAGTGTCCAGTACTTTGTCTCAACAAGATAAAAGTAATTAAGACACCCTACCTGTTCTTTCTTTACTCTGATAATTTTTCATGGCCAACTCCTAAACCCAATCTTTCTGTCAGGCTCTGCTTTAAAGGAGCTCTCATAAGCACAGCTCATAACATCAGTGGCTCTAGAAATCCATTCCTCAGTACAAGATCTGGGAATTAGATCCATCACTGATGAGATGACAGCAAAGAGTCCAGTTGGGTGATCAGTCAGGTGGTGATAAACCTGAAGAGCATTAGAGGCTTTCACCTGTGATAAACAGAAAGGAGCCACTGATGAAAGGAAAACACTACCTCAGGAAAAGCACCACCCAATGTATCTTTTGTTCTGAACTTAGCCTTGCCTGGGATACCAGAATGGCCTAACTGGGGAATGCCCAGCTTTACTCTCTGATCTCCACCACCAACTAATAAGAGAATTGGACAAGAGGTAGTGAGGAAGGTGGAGATGTAACAGACCCTAAATTAGTTACCATGACAGTGTTTGCAGGAAGAGATCACAGAGAAAGGGGAGCACACAATACATAAAGAATAAAACATGTAAGAATTATGAAAAAGAAGAGACACAGAGGCTATTCACATTCATATTTGAAGAACATCTGAAATTCAAACATCCAGAATAACTAATTTTTTTTTCAAAATACTTATTTTGAGAAAGTAACATGTCAGAACTGCTTTCTTATTTACTTTATCCTGAAATAGAAAAGAGAAAGAACTGACTTGGTGATTACCATACTAATGGGAGATCAACATAAATATTTTATTTTTATTTGTAAAAAAATGAACAAAAAGTTACATTATTTCTCCAGAGAAGATCATTAAGGAAGGAGATGAAAAAGGTCTCTCCACATGCAATTTGAAAATTTGAACACAGTAGTGAGGCCCAAACTTCCAGATTACCAGTGGTGTAAGGACAACATTAAAACATTCTGGTTCAGGCTCCTCAAGAAAGCATTAGCTCCAGCTAATGATGGCATCAAGAGAGTTAGTGTTGACTTCTAGTCTCAGTGCCTTTGTTAGCTTTGACTGGGGACATTCCAGATGGTTCCTGCGATGTCAAACCTTTGATAAAACTACCATGTCTTAGAAAAAGAGAGAAGCCTAAATCAAATAATAAAGTCTAATAGAAAAAGTTCACTTCTGAACATTGGTCTGGCACAACTTCCTGTGAACCATGCCCAAGAGTTCAAAGATAAGTCAGTGAAAATAAGAGATACTTTCATATTTCTACTTAAGGTGAAAAAGATGAACTATTTTACCCTTATATACAGTTTTTGCTGGAGCTATTTTTAAAGTAGTTCATTATCCTGTAGCTAATTATCTTTCCTTATGTGGTCATTTTGAATTATCATTGTTCACAATAGGCACGTATTTTCTAGTACAATTAGCTGTACCAAAATAAATAGCAATTTACACACTTTCCAGTAAAATTGGTTGTATCAAAATAAACAGCAATTTAATCCAAAGATACCATATCTTGAAAGAAATTTTCAAGTATAATGTTTGAAATACAAATATCTGAAAAGGACCCAATATAATATTCATAACTTTTCAGAGTGATCAAAATACATAAGAATAACTAGAAAAGCATAAGAAGTAGATGCCATTAGCAGTAAGGAAAAACCAACTTGAATTACAGCCAATCATAAATTCTTATTCTCTTCAAGCTTCTGCTTCATTATTTTAAAATAGCAGGGTTATATTAAAAAGAATTTTATGAGAATTATATTAGATAATTCATGTGAAATCTGTGGGCACAGTAAATGGCACATACTAGATACCAAACCTATCATACAAATATGACACAAAGTGTAGAGAGAGTGCTTATATCCATTAGGTCAGAGAAAGAAGAATTTTAAAATGGACAAGAAAACTGTTCTAAGTAAAAATGTGAGAGGAGACTCTGAATGTTGCCTAGAACCCAAGGCTTCCTGTACTAAAGAATCCTGAAAGCAACAAGACATAGACAGCTGGGCATTTACAATGTAAAACTCAAGAGAAGTCCAAAAAACTAGTACTATTGAAAACGAAAATAATGTGACTACTATAGAGGCCATGGAGGCATGATACACATGTCTCCCTTCAAAAAATAAAGCTCAGAGCCTTCAACATAGTGCCTTTCAGATTCACGACAGCATTCAAAACCATGTTATTACTACAGTTGGACATAGGCAAAC